CCCAGTCAAACACGTGATGCCTCGTAACATACCTAAATTCTAAATTTTTCTTAAAATAAACCCTGTGATTTATTAGTGGACTTTAAATTCTATACATCTTTTTATTGTCCAACATATTCTACACAAAGCTCTCTATCACGTTCTAAGAATCGTGTGAATACTTATGAATACATCGACTCATCCAATCCAAGAAATTCAACAGCATTTCTGTACAACAGTTTTGCCTGTAAAAAACAGATATTTTTTTTAATTTAAACATATTTTATTCTCAACATTTTCTCCAAGAGCTAGGCTCATCGAGGGAGATCATGTTGACTTATTTAAAACATTGGAGTACATCGTGTTTAAATAAAAGGTATACACAAACATAATAAAATAATTATAAAGAAAAAGAACTATAGTTAAGCTCAAAACCTAAAGATAAGTTGTTACGTATTAATATTCAATTCAACTAATAAAACGCTTAGTTTGGAGAATAAACAGTTGAACATTCCGCATCAAAATTTGATTTTCTTCATAACCAAGTACTTCTGAACCATATACAAATGTTTCAACTATAGCTGATCTTCCGATAAGCTCAACCACGTAGCGTGGAGCAACTGTGCAGACGAAGAAAGCAAGCATTGTCACTGAGCAGCATATCCAGGACAGTGCAAAAACAGATATTCGATTACGACTCGAGAGTTATATGTATAGTGGTGCATTTGTTAGGTTCTAGACTGTTCACTGGCATATAATATGGTCTGTGCCAGTGTAGGTATAGTGGCAATTATAACAAAACTTTTGTTGGCAGGGATTATCAAGTTTTGTTCAGTGGCATCTCTGGGTACGAAGGTCAGAACCTCAAATAGCGTCATACGCCACATAGTGATTTTTCAACATTTGTAAAAATGTCTGAAAAGATAGACATGTAGATGGATATAGATAGAAACTTTTATTTAAACACGCTAAACATTGTCAACCCACAGTAGGCCGATTTCCACAAGGGGTGTGTATACAATAATATGATTACAAAGATATAGTATATAGTAACATATATAGTAAGAAATATATTTAGGTATAAGAATAAATAATGCTATTTTCAAAAATGTGAGTAGCAATTTTAGTTTCAAAGGACATGATGGAGTTGCTCTCTCTAATTTCGGTTGGTAAAGAATTCCAAATGTGTGCCCCGTCAAACATGAAACTTTTTTCAAGCTATTTGTACGCGGCTGTCATAAGCAAAGAGTGCTTTCAACATCTCGAAGTTTATAATTTGTCATTTCACATTTGAAAGTAAATAAATCAGTATAAAGCGATTTAGGACCCATTTTATTCAACAATTTAAACCTCAGTTTGGACTTAGCTCTAGTTATTCCTTCCATTTTAAGTGCCTTCCAGTCTAAAGCATCTAAAGCAACCAGATGATCTACATCATTGCTCATATTCCTTTTGATTCGAGCAGCTCTGTTTTGAAGCTTTTGGAGGCGTTTTGATTGTGTTTCACGCCTGTTCACCCATACCTTACATATTGCTGTGACGTATGGGATGTGTATCCCATACTTCACAGCAATATAAACCAAACACATCCCATACGTCACAGCAATATGTAAGGTATGGGTGAACAATAGATTTATATACACAAACAAGCGTATCTTTCTCAACAAATTCTTTTATTTGACGAATTAAAGGTGATATTGCAAATGTTTTCAGTGTTATTCTTCCAAGATAAATACTGGTCAACAGTCACTCCAAGAGTTTTGCAATCATATTCTTGTTTAATTGGTTTATTTTCTATGATAACGTTTGGTTGTTTATTTGAGATACTTTTTATCATTGGTTTAGATCCAATTAATATAAATTCAGTTTCGGCCACGTACATTTAAACTTTAAAAGCTGTGGAACTACGGAATGAGCCTCACAAGAAATCCCAGAAAAATGTTTTTAATTAAATACAGTGTAACAAAGAGCAGAAAAGAGGAATTCCGTAGGAGGGCGCGGCGGTCGTGACGCAAAACACGAGGGTGAAACGAGCGGCAGATCTGGGTGGCAGCAGCAAATATTGAAATGAGAAACGTTAAAACTACTACTATACCTCAACCTCCGGAGCGTCTTTATACGTTGACTGAATCAGTTGACCAGGTCGATGTTCTCCAAGTGCAAAAGGATAATCACTCCCAAGGATAACGTTATCCTATTTAGCAAAGATAATGGAATACTTGCGTATAAGCGGGTTTCCATTTCATATATACTGTTGTATATAAACTGGAACTGTCTGTGTCAGTGGAGGTAGATACGATACCAAGACAGCTGTGGATTGCGAGGGATAGAACTACCTAAAAAATATAAGCACAACCTCGACGTTTCGAACAAAGGCCCTTCGTCGAACGTTCTGCTGTCAAGTTTGTTGGTTAACACGATACGAACACGATCTGAGATGGACACTGCATGGAATGTTTAGTCTCCTGTGTTTCATTTTCATGCTCGCATTCTGATAACACTATATAGGCACGTGAGTTATCAGAAAATGTTGCTGGGCAGACGTGTTATGCATATCGAAAGTAAAAGAGAAAGAATAGCTTACGATCGTGCGAATCAACCGAGTAGAATCTAGAATCAATGTAGCTTTTATGTACCAGAGATTATATAAGATATTATTGGCTCGTTTACACTATCCACAATTTTGGCACGACACAGTTGATATAAAGACAAAAACGTTTTACCCGTACCAAAATATACTCATGTTTGGTTCTTGCAAATAGATAATCCTGGTAAATTTGCTACGCAATTGTCTAGAACGAGCGCTTTTCGCTGGCACAATTGTCAGAACAAGCGGTGGCTCATGGTACTTATGTGAGAGTCAGTCAAAGCTCTACCGAAAGTCGTGGATTTTCACCTGGTACTACGGATTCCTCCCACAGGAATGTTGACAGGGTGGGTCGGGTAAAGCTGGGGCTTCCGCACTGAGATCAGTGGGCTTCTAACCTAGCTGCGATCAGACATGAGCCATAAGATTGCCAGAGGTGCCTTCGTCTCGATCAGGTTGAGCTGCGCCCTTCACATATACGGGTGCTATTTTATCCATTCTCTGTAAACATTTGAGCGTCGTCTAAACGGACCTTATAGAGGTGAACGATGAAAGCATTGACTTACTTCTCCAACAATACTGACAAGAAACTGGAGAGCTTTTTCATCATGCACCAATGAGTCAGTGTAAAATTTACCAATGTATTTTCTAAAAGATACAAACTTAACTTTTAGTATTACTGCCAATTCCTCTCAAGTAAAATAATAAATTAAATTAATTGGATGCAAATATGTTATATTCAGTGCCACCAGGGGTGTGGGTGGGGGGGG